GCTATTATCCATTATTTGTTGTTCCATTTATAGAACACAAGTGGAGTAAATTTAGCGTCATTCTTAAGGGTTCTAGGATTTTCAGGATGATAAATAAGCATTGGCTTCAGATTCAAGTCACCAGGTACATAAGCCTCTAACAAGAGAGTCAGCCTGTTCTTTTAAAGCTTTAAAGCCAGGCATTGACTTCTCCTCTCTAGCTATGAAAGTCCTAGATTTCATCTTTTTCCAACATAAGACTGTTTTGTCTACATTGAAAATCTGTTGTTTAGTGTTTCCGTCTTCATCAATGATCTTAGCTAGGTCTTCTGGATAACTTGAGGCAGCTTCTCTATCTGCACTGGCTGCTTCACCTTGCACTTTGCTGTTATGGAGATGGCTTCTTTCCTTAAACCTCATGAACCAACCTCTCCTAGCTGCAAACTTTTCTTCTGTAGCTTCCTCACCTCTCTCCACTTTCATAGACTTGAAGAGTTAGGGCCTTGCTCTGGATTAGGCTTTGGCTTAAGGGAATGTTGTGACGAATTTGATCTTCTGTGTGGACCACGCAGACTTCCTCCATATGGGCAGTAAGGCTGCTCTGCTTATCATTCATGTGTTCACGAAGTAGCACTTTCAGTTTCTTTCGAGAACTTCTTTTCATTCACAACTTGGCTAATGGTTCAGCAGAAGAGGCCTAGCTTTTGGCCTATCTCAACATTCCACACGCCTTCCTTACTAAACTTAATCTTTTCTAGTTTTTTATTTAAAGTGAGAGACATATGAATATTCCTGTCATTTGAACACTTAGAAATCATTGTAGGGTCATTAATTGGCCTAATTTCAATATTGTTGTGTCTCAGGAAAGTTGGAGGAGAGGGAGAGAGACTGGGGACTGGCTGGTCTGTGGAGCAGTCAGAGCACACAACACGTATCCACTGAGTTCCCTTCTTATATGGGCACAGTTTGTGGGACCCCAGAACAATTACAGTAGGAACATCGAAGATCACTGATTGCAAATCACCGTAACAGATAGAACAATAATGAACAAGTTGGAAATATTGTAAGAATTATCAAAATATGACACAGAGACACTCAATGAGCAAATGCTATTGGAAAAATGGTGCTGTTAGACTTGCTAGACACAGGGTTGCCAGAAACTTTCAGTTTGTAAAAAATGCACTATCTGCAAAGTGCAGTAAAGAGAAGCACAGGAAGACGAGGTCTGCCTGTACTCTCCATACGTGATAACTACATCCAATGCTCATAACAGTCCTCAGCCTACAAGCAGCAGAGCCAGGATTGGCACCCAGGCCGGCGCTCTTGCCACAAGGCCGTGGCAGCTGCTCAGACAGAAAGACTCACCGTGGTAACAGTCATGGCCATTGTTTCTCGATGTCCTAATACCTAGACCTAGAAGCTTCCAGAAGTGGGGACTGGGTTGTCTGATACGTTAGCCAACTAGCTCTTGAAGCTCAGGTTCTCCTCATGGTTCTAAGCTGGTTTCTAAGCCAGAGCTTTGAGGACTGTGGCCTCCGTAGTGGGCAGTGTGGACCCCACGGCCATTCTGCCACCATCGGCAGAGGACATCCATCTTCCCTCTGGCCTGAGGCTCAGGCCCCGGTTGGCCCAGCTCCTGCACCCTGTCAGGAAAATCCTCTCCCTCTGACCTCCTGTCACTGGTGCCTTGTTAGGTGTCTTCAGCAGTTGTTGGCAAAAGTAACTTTTTTCCCTGATACTTCAAGTTTATGTTAAAATTGTCCGCATACCCTCAGAAGCATAGATGGTAGAACAGAGCCATTTTCCTAGTGTCACTTGGTCACAGTGATTGGAAACAGTCCTTCTAAAGAAGTTAAAGGGTTAAATAAAAGAGCATTGATGCCAGTCTGAACGTAACCCATTCCAAGGCTGAGGCGTTCTTAGTTCTCGTAGGTTTACCCGAGTCTGCACCCAGTCCCGGCTGCCCCCTCCCGCTGCCCCCGTTATGAGGTGTGGAGCAGGGCAGCAGAGAGCACTGACCCAGGAGTCCGAGGATCTGTGAGGCCTGGGCTGATCATTGCCCACCACAGCTCATGTGCCCTCTATGCAGAATGAAGAGGTGGGCCTTTCTGCTCTCAGGCCTCACTGACTCCACAATATGGGTGGACGATGGTGCTGACCTGTCCTGGCTCCTCCTGCCCGAGAGGGTGCAGGCAGAAGGGCGCTCTCCAGAAGAGCACCAGGCTCAGCTCACAGGTATAGGTGGATGCTGACCCCAGGCAGAGGATGCTAGCCCAGTGAGTCACCTGATGTTACAGCAGTCACCTGCCTCCCTCATCCACCCGCCCCTCCTACCTGGCCTGGAATTTGTTCCACACCCCAGCCACTGGGCACTTTCTAACCTGCCCCTGGAGAGCCTATGGCTCAGTGAAGGGAAAACCACAGGACTCGACAATGTAGGGTCCTCCTTGGCCAACTGACCCTCACCCAGACTGATCACTCACCACCCAGTCATGTGGCAGGGTCCCATCCATCTAGCGGAAGAAACAAAGCTTACCACTAGCTAGTATTTTGGAGTACTCTGAAATCCTTGCACAAAAGGGTCAATAGAAATAGTGAGTATAGCCAACCTTTTATGATCCATACCCAGCACCCCAGGGCCTCCCCACACATAGGTACAGCCAGGCCCAGGAGTCGCAGACCAGCCCGGCGCATAGTTCTTCATCTACACTGCAGATGCCGTCTGCTTCAGCGGACTTTTCCATGACTCAGCACTCCTATTCAACTTTGCTTGGGTAAACGAGGCCTGGGATGATGCCACCAGGATGGACTCCCCACCTTAGTTGGCTCTCCATGCCCACCATTTGTTCCAGCTTACCTGGGACAGCCCTGGTTTATTCCTGCGGCTCCTCCACAGTTATTAGGTGTGCCCCTTTCAGTCTCCAAAGTGCCCTAGTTTGGATGATATCTTACACTGACAGTCATATGATGAAATGAGATTTCCCTGCTTTCCCCACATTTGTCCTGCTTTGGGAGGATGCTCTCTGCCTGAGTCGAAGGAGGCCTTTGACTACTCAAAGAGTAGCCTTTGCTGAGTGACCTTCCACTGACAAAAATCAATCACTGCATTGGCTGGAGGGATGTCATTTGAGGACATAGGTGGTCTCATGCATCATTCACTGCCCCTGTCTGAAGTACCACATTCAAAAGTTCTATTCAAGCAACCCTTTGCTTCCTGTAAGGAACTCACATATTTCTTCCTCTCTGGCTATCAGGACTCTGTCATAAACTATATTGCCCTTTTCTCCTTGGCTGCCAGGAAGCTCAGAGATAAATGTATAGCTGAACTATAGGAGCACGATAAGCCCTTATGATTGTTATACTGATGTTCTTTCCATCCCACCAATCCTGACCTCCTGCCATATTTACATTTTCCTTTGTTCTGAATTGTTATTCTTACTTAGTTTTCTTCTATTTTTTTATAGTCCATCCTTTTTAAAATACTTATAAAATTATAATATAGTTACATTGAATTCTTTAAAGAACCAATATGGAAAGGAAATACCAAAGGAATACATTTATAGAATATAGTTTTTATCTAATTATCAAACCACCTGCCTCTCCATGGCATGTCACTATGCCCATGGTCCCGCCATTTGAGAGACAATTATTTGAGTCTTTCAGACTTGTTAACATTCTGAGAAACCTGTGAAAGTAGGAAGAGGTAACTCCTCAAGACTGCATCAGCAAACACCCAATGAAAATCAAGGTGAGGGCATGAAGGGACCCTGAGGTCAGGATGCCAGGGGCAGAGCATGCTTACAGGAGAGGGAAGAAGGCCTCAGAGATACCGGTCACTCCCCTAGACCCTCATCCAGGGGATGGGTACCTGTGAGGTGGCTGGGAAATGAATTCTGGCCATAGAGAGCATGGGTTTATGTGCTGGCCCTGCCTCTTAGAAATATAGAACCTTGACAGGCCACCCTTCTTCTGTGGTCCTCGCTTCTGTCCATTGGAAAGTAAGGTGGCTGATGAGATGGAGTTCACAGTGACTTCCAGCTTTGAAATTCTGACCATGCTTCTGGGGAGAAGGGCCCTGTGATGTCCCCAGAGCCCAGGAAGCCTAGACTGCCTGACTTTTGGCTGATCCTAGGAGGACATGCACACTTGGGGCTCTACTCTGACCAGCTTTGCCCTCAGTTTGGCAAGGACCCCCATTCTGAGCCACTTCTAGGGTATCTCTGGGGCACTGACTGGATAAGGAAAGGCTTCCAAGCTGGAGGAACTTGTCAGAATGGCCCTCCAGCTATTGCTTGCCTGATCTGGTGGTCACGCTGTGTTAGACTCTGAGCTCCCACAGGCTGGGGTGGTGGTTTTAGCTTCTCCATGAAACACTGCTTTGGGAGGTGGGTTAGCAAAGAGGATGAGAGCCATGAATGATGTCCTTCCTGGGCACCTTCAGAACCCCAGGCAAGAGAAAGAGTAATGCTAACCTGAGAACAGTCCTCCTTAGAAAGCTTGTCTCAAATAACCCACCGGTGCTTATTCCTGCAGTGGCCATAGGACTGGCTGGCGTTTATCCAGTGGCATCCACACCCATTTTCACGTTGGACCCCACAACAGCCTGAGTTGCTGTTATCCCATTTTGTAGATGAGACAACTGAGGCTCAGGAAGCTAAAACTCACTCAGAGTCATTCTCTGAGCAGAGACTGGAGCCCAGGCCTCCCATCCCTAAGTGCCCTGAGGTTCCCAGAGCCCGCCCTGCCTCATGTTCCCAATGCCCCACACAGCTACCGTCCTCAGAACCACAGTGGGCATTTAGAGTCACCAGCACCCCTGGGAATGTGGGTGAGGGAGGCATCGGCAGTGCTCCAGTGCATGGAGCTGGGGGACGTGGGTTCGGGTTGGGTCTCCCTGAGTTAACTTTCAGGGATCTCACTGGGTCTCACAGAGTCGGAGCTGCCCGGGCTGTGGATGAGTTGCAGTAACGCTCTCTTCTCTTGTTTATGTGTATTTCTGTGTGTGTGCTCTTGTCAAATAGAAGATCGTGAATTCCCCTCCGCAGCCGTTCATCTCCAACACGGGATTAAAGGGGACAAGAGGCAGGACAGAGCTGCCTGTGGCGTCCAGCGTGGCTTCTCTCGTGTGGGGACCAGGGATGCCTGGGCCGTGCACACAGCCGATTCCAGCCGTCAGCGGTTTGCATAGCACACAGGGGACTTGTAGGGGGCCACTCGCCACTGCCAACTGAAACAATACGATGGCGACATTGACATCCTTCACGACGTTCCCACGACAGACATTCAGGCAGAAAGTGCTGGCGCATTTTCTGTCTGCAAAGTAGAGGGCCATGCCTCACTCATGTGAATAGTCCAGGCCCTGATGACCTGCTCTGAGTCCACTTACAGGCAGTGACACTTGCAAAAAACTCCCCAAACCATCCTGGGTTTGGCTTCCATAGCTCTGGACCCATGCGGCCAAAGCCAGACACCTCCTTGGGACACTTGGATTATTCGTAAATGCAGCCTGCCCTGACTCTCCCTGAATAGCATCTGAAGCCCCGTGAAGGTCATGGATCCGGAACAAAGTGTCAAGGGCACCAAGAAGGCGGAGGGAAGTCCCCGGAAGCGGCTGACCAAAGGAGAGGCCATTCAGACCAGTGTTCCATCCAGCGCCCCGTACCCTGGCAGCAGCACAGCTGCCACCCAAGGGGGCCCCCTCCCAGAGCTCCTAGCCCCGCAGCCCTTCCCAGGCCCCTCGTCAGTTCTTAGGGAAGGCTCTCAGGAGAAAACGGGCCAGCCACAGAAGCCCCCCAAGAGGTCCTCCATCGAAGCCTCTGTCCACATCTCACAGCTTCCGCAGCACCCTCTGACACCAGCATTCATGTCACCTGGCAAACCCGAGCATCTCCTGGAGGGGTCCACGTGGCAGCTGGTCGACCCCATGAGACCTGGGCCCTCAGGCTCCTTCGTGACCCCTGGGCTCCATCCTCAGAGCCAGCTCCTCCCTTCCCACGCTTCCATCATTCCCACCGAGGACCTGCCTGGCATCCCCAAAGTCTTCGTGCCCCGTCCCTCCCAGGTCTCCTTGAAGCCCACAGAAGAGGCACCCAAGAAGGAGAGGAAACCACAGAAGCCGGGCAAGTACATATGCCAGTACTGCAGCCGCCCCTGTGCCAAGCCCAGCGTGCTCCAGAAACACATCCGCTCACACACAGGCGAGAGGCCCTACCCCTGTGGCCCCTGCGGCTTCTCCTTCAAGACCAAGAGTAACCTCTACAAGCACAGGAAGTCCCACGCCCACCGCATCAAAGCTGGCCTGGCCTCGGGGATGGGCGGTGAGATGTACCCCCCAGGGCTGGAGATGGAGAGGATCCCTGGGGAAGAGTTTGAGGAGCCCACCGAGGGAGAAAGTACCGATTCGGAAGAGGAAACGGGCACCACATCCACTCACCCCGCAGAGCTCTCCCCAAGGCCTAAGCACCCGCTCCTGTCCAGCAGTTTGTACAGCTCTGGGAGCCAGGGTTCCAGCCACGAGCGCTGTTCCTTGTCCCAGTCCAGCTCAGCCCCGTCACTCGAGGACC